CCATTCTGCTAGTGAAGCTGAATGGAAGAAAGGAGACGTTCTGTCTTTGGGACGACAGCAGACCTCTTGGTGAACGTATTCCCCAAGTAATTCCCCTAGTATGCTATGCAGATTGGACATGATCCAAATCAAAACTTCAAAAGAATTTGTAAAATTGCTCAGACCTTATTTTCTAATTGGTTCCATGGGTCCATTGTAGGTCCATTGTGTGATACCAATGACACAATTAAGTTCCGGAAGGGTTACAGTCTGGCTTTAGTACAGCGATGCACAATGCCCCCATGAATTGTACAAATCATTGAATACATAAAATTCCAATGTTAATTAAAGTTATTGAAATCAAATTGCTAGATCTCACTCTTCCCTGTCAATTACACTAACCCACACAGATTTATGGTACCGAACCCTCCCATTTTTCCTCTGTTACCTTCTTTGCAGGAGCTGATATCTATTATTCCACCTGTTGTACAGTTGTCACTTATCTCCTTGTCAGTGCAAAAGCATATATTATCAGGATTAACAGAGGGCGCAGCTGTAATTGCTTCAGGGACACTAAAGCGATAAAGCAGGATGTCTTTCACTGTCTGCTCACTATCAAATATTCCATAGGCTGACCTAGATATGAAAAGAAATATAAAGTAGCACTTTTGGAAGAATACATATCCATTATTCCTTTGTCCTAACCATCTGAGTCTAATCTGGAACTTGAGCACCAATGAAGGATCATACACCATGTTGAACAAGATCCCCTGATCTTGACGTCATCAATCACATTTCTCAAGCATGAGTTGATCATCTACACATCGCTGATCTCATTCCTTTATCAAAATGTGGGGATCCTCAATCAGATGAGCCTCCCCGTGACACTTTGGTGAGGTAGGATTGACTGGCATCTCACCAAGGCAGAAGCAGAGCCAATCATTATGTTTGGGATGTATGTTTAATATGTAAAAAGCCATATTAAAAACAAAGACGACTAACACCGTACTCTCAGAAAGCCTTGAAATCTAGGGTTTTGCATGGAACCCCAATTGGTTTCCAGTATAATGGGAACAGTATTGAAGTAGTTAAGGTCTCTGCATGTTAACACTTTGGGGGGTAAACTGGATTTTGAGTAACACATTTAATAGAGAAGCTGCCAATCTCTGTGGTAAAATTAAGCAGTCCCGCTTCATCTAACCCAAAAGTCCTGCTGGTTGAATATTGCTGATATTCAAAATTCTGTTATTTCCATATCAAAGGAATGAAACCAGTTACTCAAGATCTTTTACCTGCAAATATCTGAGGAAAACATATACAGCTTATCATCCTTGCTGACAAAAGGGGGGAACGATGACCCATCTGTGAGTAAAAATCAGAACATCATGTGAATTGTGAGCCTCCCAGCTCATACCAAAAACTTGCATCTGAATTGAAAGGCTGCCTTAACAACTGAGGCTAGGTCTGACTGCGGCTCCTCTTCATCAAACTCAGCTCTTCAGTTCTACCTATTGGATTAACAGAGGCTAAGGCAGGCCTTCCATAAAAGATTTCGTCTTCTTCTTACGACATGCAGGTTACACTTTTCTGGAGTTTACACACCTAGGACTTCAAGGCAAAATTTTGACTTATCAGTGGTTTCAACCTGGAAGACCATTTATCGAGCAGTAGCCTTGGCATAGAAAGCTGCCCGAGGATTATGGAGTTTCTTCTAGCCTCAGTGCTGAACTTTGATGGAGCAAAAGACAGAAGCAGTGGGATTTTTTTTTTTTTTTAACGTGTGGAGGTAGGAAACATAACGTCTGTTGAAGCAATTCACTAATAGTGAGCAAGCCTACCATTGCTCGCATATGTGATATCTGTCTAAATGTTGGTCCTATCATACCAACTCATGGAATTTCTTGCTCTCCCCACCACCACAAAACCCCATTAAGTGTGCCAGGTATATCTGCTGCAAACCATGATGACAAAAAGTTGAAGACATGTACATAGTGATGTCATCACAAAAATCCCATCCATACATACTTGCACCCAATATCTGATACAAATCACAGCATTTGCCTCCCTTGTAGATTCCCCCTCATCCCCAGTGTTGCCCAACTCCACTGTAACTGAATTAGCTTAGTGATTTAGCCAGAGATTGTACAGATACATGAATAAACCCAGGACACTTCTCTTTCTCTTTCTCTTTCTCTTTCTCTTCTTTGGGATTTTTCCAGCTCAATTTCAGTTCCAACCTTGAATACTCTTAAGGCATGCCAAAATATGTTTGTGTGTTCTGCACAGAAATAGAAATTCAGTAATATTCCATTTGCACACTTACCAGTGCCATTCACCATACCACAATGACCTTCCCAATAATTAACGGTCCTTTAAAAAAAGAAAAATAATATGCAGCTCAGGTGACGTCAGGCAGTTTTCCTAGCTAAACAATTGTCTTCTGAATCTAAGGAAAGTGTGGAAACGAAACATATTCAGGGGCAGAGTAGATATTCTATTCTCCAGGTCTCTTGTAACCATATTCCCCAAAAGAAGGAATTGAAAAAGGTACGAGAATTTATGTTAGGATAGGAGGAGTGTTTATAAAGTAGTGTGCAAAGTAACAAACAGCATCCTCTTTTCCTAGGGTAGGTGTGAAAAAGAAATAGGGTAGTATTTATAAAAACCCATTGGAATCTCATTGGCTCTCATTGGCTCATTGGCGAGTCTCCACAAGACTCTCTCAGGTGGATCAAACAGGAAAAGAAGGTGTTGGTATTGGAAGAAGGCTCAAACCAGGTCACTTAACTCCAAAAACTAATATCCACAGGACATTCATGATAGCCCCAAA